TTAAGCCAGCGGTGTCATGCACTTCTAGAAACTTCTGCGTCTGTCCTTTGGGACATCTGTTAAAATTGGAACCATACCGCGCAGCCCCTGCGTAGGGATGACACGCATAATAGAGAAGTTGTCGAAAAACAAACAAACAAACAAAAAAGGTGTTTGCCACACAGCCTTTCGAAACATGCAGAATCAACGCAAAGGCTGTGTGGCAAACACCTTTTTTTGTTTGTTTGTTTGTTTGTTTTTCGACAACTTCTCTATTATGCGTGTCATCCCTACGCAGGGGCTGCGCGGTATGGTTCCAATTTTAACAGATGTCCTAAAGGAAAGACGCAGAAGTTTCTAGAAGTGCATGACACTGCTGGCTTAAGTTGAGGAACGGCTCCTCTTCACGAAAAACAAATTGGGGCTCCACTGGCCAGGATGTAGAAACGAAAAAAGAACGAATGCATCTGCCACAGAAAGTGGTAAGATGCATCTGTTGCTAGTCATTGTCACAGATGCATCTTGCCCTTCTCACAAATCAAAGGCAATAAGAATTATTCCACATCACTCCATACCCTCTCAGTCAAATCAACATACAGAATGCTGAGACCCAAAATCAACCTCAAGGATAAGGTATCTAATAGATGGATGAGACATCTTAACTTAAATATAAATGATCTGCGACATATTAAGTGGTTTCGGAGTAAGAACTTTAAGCCAGCCAAAATTGCATCCTAACAATGGCAGATTGAACATAGATGCCTTCCTACAAATGATTGATTGTTAGACAGAACATCACAAGACAGAAACAACCAGATCCAGCCCTGGTGTAAACTTTGTAAAAACGCTTACCCAAGTAAAATGATCCTGGAATCAATAGAACACATTTTTCTTCAATGCCCAGGATCAATTTGGCTCTGGAGATGGTGGGACAGAATCTGGAACAACTTAGAAACAACGACTCAGTGGCCATGGGGCTGGAAGCCCCTTCTATTGGAAGTATGGAACGATGTCCCCATCGATGAATTTACCCACAATCTGTTTATTCTCAGTAGGAGGGCAATCTTGTGGGCCATTTGGAGGAGAAGATGTATCCTGGAGTGGGAAGGTGTCAGGATGGATGGCCCTGAGTTCACTGAGACCATAAAAGAACACATTCAGATAGGCATTCTACACCAATGGGAACGCACAAAGGAAAAAATTCAGTTTATATCCAACAAAAAGGAAATCTCCCAGCAAATTCAACAGTTCAACTTGGCCTGGCTTGGTGGGAAACAAGGGGGAAGAATGGGGAAGGTGGTATGGAAAGGGGCTACAGAGGATGAGGATGGGGACATAAGCAGAAATTACAGGGTAGTCTTTGAGGACTGGTGTTCGATTGACCCCTCAATTCCCCTGAGACCCCTCTCAGAATTCCCTGACCCGTTCCCACTCCCCCCCACTGTGTTAGTCCCCACTTCTTGGTTTGGAATAGGTGATGATACATAAACAGGACAATTAATGCTGGAACACTTTTTGAGTTGGCTTGGTTTGGTGTGGCTGTGTCTTCATAGTGGGATTCAGACGAAGGTCTATCATCATTGCTACCAATGTCATTAGATCCTCATTAGTACCAGTACGGAAGAAGTACAATCTGGCGCCACTCGTATGAGGGTGAAGAGGTACAGAGGGCACTGGGATACGCTCCCACCAAGTGCCTGTTTTTACAGTATCATGCTACAATGGTAAGGTCAGTCACAAGTTCAATGTTCAGGGACGCTGGACCCGATTTCCAGCAGGTGCCGCTCCCCACCAATAGATGGAGCCTCCTCGACAGTGCTAGAGATGTCTGCTCTTACCAGCATCCCTAGCACTAGCCCGAGTTGTTTTGTTTTAAAAAAGAAAGAAAAAAAAAAGAAAAGAAACGCAGCATCTTCGCCACACAGGCTTTCGAAACAAGTCCCATCGAAAATGTTCCGAAAGGTGTCTGATAGTTCCGTGTCAAAAGTCGTTTCGAAGGAGCACGATTCTCCCCCCTGTCGTCAGGAGCGTTTCTTCAAAAGCCCAAGAGTGGTCTTTTGAAAAGTCCCACTCGTCAAAAAAAAAGAAAAAAAGAAGTCCCATTCGAAACGGCCTATTGGCAAAAAAAAGAAAAGAAGAAAAAGGGGCGATTAAAAGGGCCTGGCTCCACTACTCTCGACCTGCACAAAAGACAAAAATCATGGTGGTGTATCTTTCCATGTTCTACGCAAATATTCACACTCTCGTTTTACACACGTAGAGAGTAGTGGAGTGAAGACCTAATATGCATATAGAAAGGTCTGAGTGTTTCGAAAGTCTGTGTGCCGAAGGGGTGGTTCCTTTCGACGAGCAGCCTTCCGAATGAGGTCTGACACCTTTCGGAAAATGCCTTCGTTTGAAAGGCTGTGTGGCGAGCCCCAAACTTCCTTTTGTGTTTCTTTTCTTTTGACAGCCAATTGGAGGCAGCTTATAATCTCGGCCACAATATTTTTAAGAGAACCGGGCATGGCCAATGCATCTCGTCCCGTGGCTGGGCCACAGCCGAGATGCCTCGGCTACGGATGAGATAATCATTAAAAAAAAAAAAAAGTGATAAACTTCCGACTGGACTGGACTGTGAAACGGCAGTTTGAAATGCATTCTGGATGTGATTGCCAGCTCACACATATTACATAAATGGGAGGGTTTTGCCTCCTGGTTAGACTACATGGGACATACAATGACATATCTTTTTTTTTTTTTTTTTTTTTTTTTTTAATTTTAAAAAGCACACGCGCTCCATCTATTGGTGGGGAGCAGCACCTGCTGGAAACCGGGTACATCAATAGGATAGAGATCCCCCAGCACTTCACACATATTACATAAATGGGAGGGTTTTGCCTCCTGGTTAGACTACATGGGACATACAATGACATATCAAATACATCAAGAGGATAGAGATCCCCCAGCACTTCACATAGACAGACTGTCATGCATTCACAAGTAGTTGGACATACCAACACTCTCTACATAAGGCCGCTGGACCCGATCTCCACAAAACACACTCAAATACAATGTGCAGGGACGCTGGACCCGTTTTCCAGCAGGTGCAGCTCCCCACTAATAGATGGAGCCTTCGACTATGGGACCTACTTACCGGGGGTGCATAACCACCTCGGTAAGTAGGTTTCCTGAATAAGAAGTTTACCTAAAAAAACAAAAGAAAAAATATAAATAGAAACTGCCTTAAATTGTGTCTGCGCCCTAGTTACCCCTATTTTAAAAGAAGACAACCCGGTCAAGAAAACAATATACACCAAAAATATGAGCACTGTCAGATCCTTCTCAGGGCCTACTTATATACCTGGGACTTTTTCCACAAAGCTCTGGACACTATTCAAGTCAGGTTCATCCAGCTGCAGTTGCACTCAGAGGCATTTTGGAAAGTGCTAATGTGAGGGGCTCTCCACACCACTGTGGAAAGAGGGATTTTCCACAGTTCCGCCTCGCCACACAGCCCGTCTATATCCGAGATGGGAAATAGATTCTCATGTTGATTCTCATGTTGCCAGGGAAAGCGTTTCAACACCTCCTTTCGAAAGACGTTGCATCTCTAGCCTGGAACATAGACATTTTCAACAGTCCATCGCAGAGCTATCGAGTTCTTCTTGTTGTCAGAAATTGTTGAATGGGACGGAGGAGGTCCGAATGGACGAATGCCTGTCCTGTCCTATATGAGGGCCGGGCCGGGTTGTCTCTTTTGCACTTGGATTTGTGAGTTCTTCACTTGGACAGTGTTGTGTAGTGGAAGGGGGGGGGAACTTTCAAAAGGGAAGCTGTTTGAGTTTTTTTTTTTGACAGCAGTCGAGATTTTGAGGTTTTAGAGGCTCGCCACACAGGCTGTCGAAAACCCGGTTTTCAACAATTTTGCATCGCCACACAGACTTTCGAAGAATTGCAGCTCAAAAAACTTTCAACAGGTGTCAGAATGGTACTTTCGACAGCCGCCTTCCAGCAACCGTTTCCTCCCGCCTGCAGGTGATGGAAATTCGACAGTGCCTCGCCGACCTTTCAAAAATTGAGTTCGAATTTGCGTTGTCATGGACTGTTCCCTCAACTTTCGTGAAACCCGTCCACCTGGCCATGACCAAAAACCTTGCCCCTCGACAGCCTGTGGCGAAGGGGGGGCAAACTGTCCGACTTTCAATTTTTTTCTGACCCCTGTCGAAAGCCTGTGTGGCAAGCCTCTCAGACAGTGGTGAGGTTTGAGGGCCTCTCCACACCACTCTCCAAAATTTAATGGGAAAAAGACAAAAATGTAAGGGGTGCATCTGGCCATGCTCTAGGGGGAAGTTCATTCTCATTTTGCACATTTGGAGCGTCGCCACACAGGCTGTCGAAAACCAGGTTTTCGACAATTTTGCATCGCCACACAGACTTTCGAAGAATTGTGGCTCAACAAAGTTTCAACAGGTGTCAGAATGGTACTTTTGACAGCCGCCCTCCAGCAATAGTTTCTTTTTTTTTTTTTTTTTTTTTT